GTCGGGCGTTCAGGGCCTTCAAAATCAATATTGAAACCCGGGGTGATTTCTTGAGTGGACTGCAGATGCGTCTGGAGAAGGGCCCGAGGATGCATTCGAGACGCTCCTGTACAGAGCGGCGAGATTTGCTCAAAGATCCCAATCGACCATGGGAAGGGAAACACATCGGGGCACACATGATGTGTGATTCTCGTAGTGCGTTCTAGCGACCAATACAATCATGGAACCTGTTTCCCTTGACACGTCAAGAGAGCCTTTCTTTCTCGCTCGGTGATTGAGTCAGATCATATGCGGTCTGACTTGACTCAGCTGGCGCGCTCTGCATTTTCCTCAGAGCGAGAATTTCTGCGAGACGTACTTGGCCTCGTTGTCCCCAGCCGGCTTGGCCTTGTTCGACATCAGGTCGAACCCGCGCGTACCAAGCCTGTGCCCTCTGGTCGAGCTCTTGCGGGCTCAAACTCGATGTCCAACTCTTGCAAACTGTGTCTATCGCTTTAAGAACCATAGCGGCAGCTTCCTCTCTCTTACTCGCCAATTCTTTCGGATTGGTCTTCATGGCTGGTGTCTTTTTATTGGGAGCTCTTTCGGATTCTGCGTTGCTCGACTCAACAATAATCATGGATTTGAGAAGATAGTTTCGAGGTGAAAGAGGTTTGTGTATAGGAGGGCCGGCAGAGCTCTTCATGTCCTTACCCACAATCAATGGTCCATTTGATTTGCGAAGTGCATCGAGATCAAGTCCCCAGAACGCAACGCTGGGAACACTGGTCTCATCCCCAGCAGAGGCAGCGATGTGTCTTCGCATCACTGCCACCTCGCGTCCCATTATCTTGACTTTAGGCTGACCCTGTGCCCAGCCATCTTCTTCCGCAGTTGGCCCAGTTGTTAGGCCGAGATATTTGGCTTTGCTTTGCGCACCTGCGCTCACGACAGCTTGCGCCAAGCTCCACCGGCTCGAAAGAGGCTGCTCGGGATGCGTATATGCGAGGATGGCGATCGTGAAGGCCAGGAAAAGAGGTGCTCGGTTCGTCTCAATGGTGACATTCTCGAGCTCGGCAATGGATATCTTTGTTTGGGGTAGCGCAAGAGAAGTCTCATCATCGAGCGTGTCTCCATCTGCCTTCGTGCGCTTCGAGGTTAGGGGACCCGACTGCGCGGCTGCTCGTTTTTTGGGATTAGAAGCACGCTTGGCCGCGTTGATCACCTGCTTCAGCACCTTCTCATCAGCAAATATCGGTTTGAGGTCAGCCTCGTCAGCCTTGGAGATGCTCTCGGGCGTATTGAGCTGCTGTTTCCGAAGAGCATGGATCTTTGGCATGGCTTCTGCCAATGGAATGCGGGCATCCTTTGTCAAGAAACGCAACAAGGTCTGCACCTCCGCCGCCATAATGGTCAGAGACTTCACGTTGAGAGACGGCCCTTATGATTAGTACCTGACGCACAGCGAGGTACTCCGCATAGCGTTGGCAGGAATCGCGCAGTGTGCCCGGTTAAACGATAGCAGATATCTCAGAACAATGGGGATCGACACCGATCAACTCCGGTGATGCTCGTCAAGTCAGCCCGTTGCAGTGAGCGAGGCAGACAAAATTATTATGCGAGGCCTCATGCCACTAGTTTCAAATAGAACGAGAACGGTGGAGTTGCCAAGCCGCCTAAAATCAACCAGAGCACTGTTGAGCGCTATTGGGCCGGCAGCCAAGACCAGAGCGGCATGGGCACGGCAAGTGCAGACTGAGTCTAATGAGACCTCCTGTTCCTGCCCTGTCGCCGTTCTTGTTCCGCTCTCCCAATTCATGATCATCCGACAAGTCCAACATCGACCACCTTTACCTCACCCTCCCCCCGCCCTCCAATACGTCCCTCTCTGCATTGAACCATCCTCTATAACACGCCTCAGTCCTCCTCCACTTTCCTGGTCTCCTCAATTGCCAGTCTTCGCGTATTCGGAGCCGGTCTCCTAAAAGGGTGGCGCAGCGCCCATGGCGCGACGACCTCCTTCAAGCCGATCAATATCGATGGAGGGCGACCGCACGCCGCGAAGGTCATCAATCGACACCCCAAACCCCAATGTCTTCAGTGACGAATATGCGGTCGACCCTGCAGAGTCAATAGGTGCTTCAAGTCCGACGGACTCCATTGGCAGTCGACCTGAAGAGCTGAACCTAGACCAGCGCAACGACACAAACAATAATCCTCGCGAATACATACCTCCTGGACTTTCTGGAAACCCAATGGGCCTAAACCGACTTTCTATCTCTAAGAGAACCCTTCCAGCCGAATCCTCTGCCCATCCCCACCGAGCCGTATCAACCTCGTCCCGATCCATAGCAGATACCCGAAGAACACTGAGCACCTCGTCTCGATTCTCCATCCCGCGGGCTCAGAGTCCTTATCGGGGACCAACCGCCCCAAGTCAGCCATATGGACTATATCCTCAAGTTACAAGAGCCTCCAGTGTTGTCAGCGACTCGACGATTCGGCCCCTAGAACTCCCCTTTGTACCACAGGGCGGTCCTGAGCACCCATATTCTATGTACCCTCAAAACACAGTTCCTGAAGATGACAATTCGGATGCTAGTATCGCTTTGGGGTTTCCGGGAATGGGTCAATCATACTCGCCTGGTACATCTTCTTCCAGTAATGAAGTGGGCGACATTGTTGGGAGCGATGGCCACATCGAGCAATTACCGCCTTACAGCCGATATGCTGACAATGTAATCGCGAAAGGGGACATGGCTACGATAGACCCGCAGACGTCCATCATCACTGAAGAATCAGCTACCGCCTCCACCGTCCAACCTCCTGCCGCTTCTGGTTCGGACGTTGAGTTAATGGCAGTTGGCACTGGCCCTTCTCAGGACGAAATCGCCAAGAAGGAAGGGTTGGCTGAAAAGCGACCGAGAAGGACGTGCTGTGGACTACCGATTTGGACAGTCGTCATTGTCGCTGCGATCGTGGTGCTAGCAGCGGTAATTGGCGGTGTTATTGGCGGTGTCGTAGGCAACCAACATGGAACACACCAAGCCGAGGTGTAAGTTTACTAAAAGCAAACAGCTCACGCGGGCATTGCTAATCGTTCAACAGCGCTGCGACTACCACAGTTTGGCTCGACGCCGACCCTGCTCAAACCGGTCCATCAACACCATCCTGCCCAACAGGTCACTATACAATCCCTCTTAACCAGACACAGCAGGTAGATTCGTGCGTCGTCGACGACGAGTACTCTCATACATGGGAATGTCTAGACTTCGCTCTCCTTGGGATCAATGTCTTCCCAAGCGGGCCGAACTTTTCGGTAGTGTTCGATGACTACTCCGTCAGACCTCAACTGTTCAGATACGGACCGCAACCTCCCGACTTTAACGGGACGCGTTTCGCAATGCAGCCATACAAGGACAAGGATGACGATCAACTTGGTGTCGCCTTGTTCTTCAGTGTGCTCTTCGATAAGCTCATAATCGGTAGGTGCTCAACACGCTCTTCAACAATTAATCACTGACTTGGTTGTCTAGTTCCTGACAATCAACTCTCTGTTGACTCTGATGATCATATGAAACGCTCAGTATCTGCACCAGAGTTGGCCCGAAGAGGGATGGGCAACTGGGGGGGCAACTATCTCGGTGTTGGAGACAAACCCTGGTACTGTTTCTGGAACTCTACAATCAGCGAATTCTGGGTCTTTTTGGAACAGGATATGGATGACGCCTATCGGACGTATGACCCTAGCTCTACAATAACGTCTGCGACCAGCGGACCCACCAGCACTGGGCCGTACAGCATGACACATAACTCCCCAGGATATGGGACTGGACCGACAACCACAAACCCGTCAACAACCACGCCGTACCCAAGTGAACCGACTGACGAAGATTACTGGCCCGACACGAAACTCAAACGTCAAGCCACCGTAGGCTCGCCGGACTTTCCAAAGCTTGTCAAGATGGTAGAGAAGCGGAAGCCTGACAACAATGTGCAGCCGTATTGCCAACAAATGCAAGTGCTCAACAATTGGCAAATTATGCCTATACCCGATGTGCCAACCATCTGCATCGAAGAGAGTGACTACGGCGCCCCTACTTCGGCCTCCAGCAGAAGGAGAGTGATGCCCAGACGGTCGCCCAATACAGTAGAGCAACTGGGGTCGAATTGTATTTGCGAATGGTTCAGTGTATAGAACCCAATGGAGGATATGGGAATTTGTCTCCGTGTCTTTATGTGTTACGAGCTCATGAGTGCGCTGCTGGAAGGCCTGCTGTTTGATATTCCCTTTTGGAAGGATGTTGACAAAGGACGAATGGTATTTATTGGGTCATTTCAGGTCTGTATATTGGGAGTCTGATTCTACTGTCTGCTCTTTAGGCATGGCGGAGGGAGGACAGGCAAAAGCAGGAATCACTGGTAGAATCTTTCCTACTGTTACCGGCAACAGGAATTTCAAGGATCCGAATTCATTTCCCTGGATGCATACTGAGATCTGTCCAAGTCATTCAGATTCAGATGTGTAGGAGAACGAGATGGGCGACTGTTCCCCCGTGTTCCCTTGTTCATACCTGATCGTCTTACAGCCTCATGTCGTCATAATAAGGCTGATGACAAGCTTCATCCTTTCTAGCTATGCGCGTCTGACTGCCACCATGCTTACTTTTTGAACCGGTTCACCTTTTCCCACGACCAGAAGGGATAATGGCTCGAGTCTCACATGATGAATCAGTCAGCAGGAGCAGTCAAGGTTTTCGTTTTCCCGGCGGCTAGTCAGCTTGTAACTTTGTTCGGCTAATGGCTTCGGATTACTACTTCGGGCGTGAATTGCGAGCTGAACTCGGTCCAACCATTTACCATTCCCGTTCCCTCCGTGTGCCTTTGCTTGTTTCTATTCTTGCGGGCTGAAATGGCGCATGAGATTTGTGGGATTTAAACCGCTCACGGTGATTTGAGGGCTGTCGTCTCACATTATCTGCCCTTATCGTTTCCAACACAGCGAGGGGAAAATAGAGAAAATGGGCCGACGGAAAGCGCTGCTTATTGGGATCAACTACATCGGCTCGCAGCACCAGCTCCAAGGCTGCGTTGACGATGTCAACAACATGGCCGAGTTCCTTGCGTCGCGGGGCTTCTCCAATCACCCCGCCAACATGGTCGTTCTCACCGACATGAACGACCCGCGCGGACCTTATTTCCCAACCGCGCACAATGTCCTCGCCGCGATGAATTGGCTGGTCAGTGAGCCCGGCTGTATGTGCTTCTTTCACTATTCGGGCCACGGCGGTCAGGTGCCGGATGAGGACGGGTCTCATTCGAGTGGGTTTGCGGACACGATCGTCCCCGTGGACTTTGAGAGAACGGGCCAGATTGATAGTTCGACGTTGCATCGGGCCCTGGTCAGCGCCCTGCCGCCGAGCAGCACCTTGTTCATCTTGTTCGATTGTTGTCATAGGTGAGAAGCCCGAATACTCCCAAATACTCCCCCTAATTGGGTATAAATGTAAGATACGTTATATCAGAATTACTAATTTGGGGCCGCCAGTGGTTCCGCGGTGGAGTTGCCCTTCGTATACCGTAAGTTCCCATTCATTGTTTGGCCCCCTGCTGCATGAAGGCGACGATTCCTTGTATTAGCATTAGAGCAATTTTGTCCTAAAGGCTCTGCCCCCAGTCTGCTGATAACGAGGCCGCTTTTCGATGTTAACGTTCAATGCAGGGACTGATGATGACGGAAACGTCAATCTTATGGATAACCTGAGAGCTGGCGCCGAACTGATTGGGGAGGTGAGTAACAGCTTTGCACACCTTTCTGTCGCGACTCATCGGTCTCCTCGGTGTTAGTCCCCGACGAGATATCGGGGGCATGCATGCGTGCATCGGCCATATCCATTGATTGGGACTGCATGTCTTATGTGACGTCCTTTTGGAAAAGTTATGGCGGTGAACAAATGCTGATGGGTACTCCCTTTTTTTTTTTACGGTCTTGAGCAGGCCTCACATCTCATCCGAGGGGACTTCGCATTCGACAGCGCGGGAGAGGCGCGCCATCTCCTTGCCGGGGCGACCTCGTTCTTCCGTGGTCTCAAGCACCAGTACGATGGCGACTACGAGGAAGGCCTGCACAGCGTGGGCGAGTTTGAAGAAGACTGGGGCCGCGAGAACCGATCGGTCTTTATGTTTTCGGGCTGCAAGGACGAACAGACGTCTGCGGACGCATTCATCAACGGCCGACATGTTGGTACGTTATGTTTCATTTCTACCCTCCTTGAACCCTCACACCCCTCAAGCCCAAACTATCTCATCCCCGCCATATGTACCGTCTTGGAAGTTGGAATCAATCAATCCATTTCTGACAATGGATGGGAATTTTAGGAGCCATGTCGTGGGCTTTTCTCGAGACCATGAAGACAGATGTCTATTGGAACATATCCTACGTCCAGGTGAGTTGACAGCCATCCTCCGCCATCCCGATCGATCACGATATTATGTCCCACCAGCACCTGCACCTGCAGAAGTGCCCAAAAAAAGACAGTTCTAATTTTCTTCTCCCAGATCTTGCAAAACACCAGAGCACTTCTCCGGCAGCACTACTCCCAGGTCCCCCAGCTGTCGTGCGGATATCCGTTCGATTTGAACAATCCGTTCAGGATATGATATTATGTGCTACGGTACCGTACGAGACGATGCGGAAGATGGATTTAAAACACCTGGGGGCGGGAAGAGGCGTTTCGGGTCCCAACTTAGCTAGGAGGTCAGCGGGTCAGAGGCTAGAGGTCAGGGGCATGAAACAGAAGCCCGTGCTTCACAAGATCTCGCGACGATCAAACCGGAAAGGGCCGAATCATTATACACTGTTTAATCTATCGAGGAAACAGTTCTCTTGGTCGCGAACTTCCATTCCGGTCCATAACAGTCTCGCTTTTCGCAGCGTACGGGACAGCCCACCCATAACTTGACCGAGCCCTCGGCATGTTTTCTTGCAAATGTAAAGGCCATCTTTGATTGAAGCACAGGAGACAGCTAGAACTGTAAGATTTGGGTAGCTCCCTCTATACACGAGCCCTTGATTCAACGGTCGTTTGTGTATGGTTCGTGCCCAAGTCATCCAAATTGAACATTCATACAATGCTGGCGTCGGGATTGTTGCTGTAATCCAACCTACTACTGAAGCATTAGACAGGCACGCTGACCAATGTCCAAGTCGGCAGATGTCAAGAGAGACTTACCCCTCGTCAAACAAGAATTGAAAATTGTCGAATGGACCAAAAGACGCGAAGAACTCGTCGAAAGCAGTCCCGCTCAATCCGCAGGAGTCCAGCACGGTGCTCATGGAGTTCATCTGATCGTCGCGAGGATGAGGAGTGCTTGCTCGCCCTGCTGGATCCTGGAGACCCGCCGCGTAGCCCGCATATTGCTTCGCGTCTCCTGTTTTGCCCGTGTTGAACGCCTTCAGGACCTCGCTGAAGAGGTTGCGATGCATGTCCGCGCTCCAAAATGTCTTGTTGAGATGGGAGAGGACCATCAAATACAGGTTTAAATTGTGCCTGGCATGCTGACGGATGAGGCCGTCGGATCGAGCAAGCTCGAACAAGTGAATCTGCATGACGGTCATAATGGCAGTCACGAGCATTGTAGGTGATGTCTCAATCATATCCTGGGCGATTAATTTGTTGAGGGTGCTCGTGGAATCAGCTGCGGCAGCCTTGGATCTCTGGATCGCAACTGTTTGGAGACTGCTTCGTTCGGCCGGCGACAGGTGTTCGGGTGTCGAAAGAATGTAGGAGCGATGAAGCAGGATGATGACCGCATCGCAATAGCATCTGATATGGCTCATGTGTAGGCCCAAGGTTCGAGATTGTTTTCCAATGTCTATGGAAAGGTTGTCGAGAAGATTTGAAACATCCGCATAGTCGACTTCCAGCTGAGACAATGATAGCGGCGGCCGTCGCGGTCGGTAATGCAGAACCATAGCGTCTTCCAGCTTTATTGACAACCGAAGCAACTTGATCCAGAGTTCCGTCAGTTCCTCGAGATCAGGGGGTAGGAATGCCTCGCGCAGTTCCGGAGATAGATCTTTGACATCATCCACGACGTCGTGAACGGTCGGCAGCTTCAGGTCACAGTCATCCAGGTGGACGCGCATCGGTCTTCCAGTGCCCAACGAGAGCCAGGCATCGCGGTAATAGCTGCACCACCACAACCGTCTCCAGAGTGCTCGTTGTGACGGGGGGAACGGACACCGTTGAAGCCGAGAGTAGCTTGGTTCACGATGGAGCCCAATACCAAAGCATAGGTGAATGGCTGTTCCAATCCAATAGGCAGCGCCGTCTAGATCCTCCAGGTCAACATACCAGTAGCCTAGGAGTAGAGCAGACGCAATGATAGCGGACTTATCAGCCTCGAGCTGTGCATCATACGTCTTCTATGTTTCGTTAGCTCCGTCTGTTGTATGATGTTCGACGAGTCCCCTTACCTTGGCATTCTGATAGCAAAATTGCTTCAAGACTTTGCGGGATTGGAACCCTATAGCTTTAAGAGTCTCTGCATCAATGTAGATCGCTGCTGCGAAAAAAACAGACCACAACAACAGGCAGCTGACGCTGTTGGGATCATCAGAATACTTCGTAATAAACTCCCCGGCATTGACGACGGGTAAGAAAGGGTAGACATAGCTAAAGAAGCAGCGAAGGAGCCGCGCGCAGACCGAAGGAGGAAATAGGGGTCTGGAACCAGGTGTTATCTCTGGTTCGAAGTGTTGTCGTTTGAGGACGTTGCGGCTGATGATATAGGGGCTTCCTTTCACCGGTCGATTTGGTGAGCAGAGATCGAACACAAATTCAAGTCCCTCAGACTCTCCTAAGAGCCGAAGTCAGTCCTGTCGAGATCCATCAAAAAAACTTTAGAGATACCGGCATAATAAGGCACTAGGATGTCCCGTGAGTGGTCAGAGCTGCGAGGTCTTTCAGATATTGGGTCGGAAAGCGTGGTGGGAGTTTGCTGAGTGCCGGTCGCGATTTCGCGGGATGCGTCTGGCCTCCCTGGACAGTCCGGGGACGCCACCTGTGCCGGGCTCTTCTCCAAGTCTGCGCACTCCTGGGGGATTTCGACTTCATCCGATCCCTGGTGTGATACCTCGGCAGTGGGTATGGATCTCGGAGACGGTGTCAGAGGGTAGACTGGTGTCGATGAAGGTCCGATGGCCTGGCCCGAGCGGCTGTTGTATTCATTCCAACGCAATGAGCGACCTGGTTCCTGACCGGGAGGATGGAAGGTCACCTACGCGGCATGCTGCTGGCCATAGACCTTGCAGACGGTGCCATCCTGAGCACAGTTTGCACATGGGATGCCCTGGAAGGCCAGCGAGCAGCGGACTTTTCGATCATGGCAGCGCGTGCAAGCGATGGCCGAGCGCTTCCTCTTGCGATGTTGCGCATCCATGGCTTCTTCTCCTTCTCCTCCTTTGTGCTGAATGAAGTTGGTGGACGTCGCTCTTTGCAACCGGCCCATAGCTTTTGCAGGACTCTCCGCCTTATGTCTGAGTGGACGAGGGGAGGGACCTCGGGTCTTGGTCTATTGGTAGGAGGTTGCGGGGGAATGACCAAGAATGGCCCAGAAGGGGTTGGTACATACTTACCTGAGGTGGTGGGCAAGTGGTGGGATGAAGGAGGAGAGGAGCTTTTGGTGCGGAGTCGTGCTTCATATCATACACAAACAGGAGGCAACTCTCCGTCCTACGCATGGACAGCCTTCTGGCCTCACTTCCCCCCTTCTCCCTTCTACCAATACCTCTATGCCGTTCATACGCATCCCCTTGTGGCCGTTGCATACAACTGTGCGAGCATTCGCTCTACCAGGACCATAGAAAGAAGAATTCCACTATTGCGGCACGATGAGCTGCAAATTACGCCTGGTCACATCGTTTCCGCGCCTATCCCATGCCGAAAAGGAGGCTACTCGGCTATTCCGCAATGCCCTCAGAATACTTCGCTCATGGTGGAACACCAATCGACAAATAATGGGCGGAAGGCCTCATAGTGCTGCAAATATCTCTTTCCACTTTCTCATATTCGCCTCGCATCTCGCACCCCCACGACATCCACAGAGCGAAACCGAGGCAGCATACCGAGGTAGGCTGTTGTTGGCTTTCAATGTAATATCTAAATGCAACGCCAGGGGCTTTTGATAGCCTGCATTTGGATCCTTCCACCTATTCTATGGTGGCGGGTTTAAAGACCTCTGGTTCAGCGACACTACCTCGATTTACTTACTCACTCGCTTCGTCATGGCGGAGAAACACATTGGTGCTGCCGAAGAGGTAGCAGTCGAGGCGCCTTCATCGTCTGCAGGAAAGTCGCAAGTTCACCATGAAGAATCGGTCGGTGACGTCGAGAAGACCATTTTTCTTCGAATCGACGGAGATGACCTCGACCATGAGCACGAGCCTAAGGTTTGCATGTCCTTAGCCTTGTTCAAGGGTTTATAGGAAAGAGAACATACTGAACTTCAGTTAAGATGACCTTCAAGCGCTTCATGAGTCTGCTCGCTATGGCCCTGCTCTGGACGGGCAGCCAAATTCCCGTCTATCTTTATGGTAGGATCTCTCGGCCTTTCGGTCGAACTCGAATCTCTGACACCCATGTCGCAGGCAGCATACCCCCGTACATCTACGGAGACATTGGCGGGGTGGACAGATGGATTTGGTTTGTAAGTCTTGGGTAGATGAGTTGGACATACATGTACACTCACTCATCCTTCAGATTTTGGGGAATCTGCTTGCCCTAGCAGGCGTCTGTCCTTTCGTTGGCTCCCTGTCGGACCTCCTTGGACGGCGCTATGTGGCTTTGATCGGTGCCGGGCTACTTGTCCTGGGAACCGTCATCGCGACGACCGCAAAGTCAATGAACATGTTCATCGGTAACCCCTTCCAAAAGCATGGTATGTGGGATTGGATTCTCCAGCTAACAATCTTAGCTGGCACAACCATTGCAGGAGCAGCCGCTGGCATTAGTGAACTCACAGCGTTAGCAGTGACTTCTGAACTGGCTCCTACAAGGAAGCGTGGTGCCTACGTCGCGGTCCTGATTTTCACCATCGTACCTTTCTTGCCATCTGGAATATATGCACAGCTGATTGCCTGTATGTTGAGACTCCTTGTGTTCCGGATACGGAGTTTTCTGACCCTGTCAAGCTCATGCTGGTTGGCGGTACTGTGGCATTATCATCTGCGTTTGGAATGGGCTTGGCCTCATCATCACGGCATTGTTCTATTTCCCTCCGCCGCGGGTCAACTCTAAAGGCAAATCGAAGCAAGAGATTCTCCACCAAATTGACTTCATCGGCGGTTTGCTCAGCATTTCTGGAATGGTGCTGTTCATGGCCGGCATGCAATGGGGAGGCTATCAGGTATTTTTTTGTTCACCGCACACGACCGAGACTTGTATACTTACTTGTGCAGTACTCGTGGCGATCCCCCCATGCCCTGGTTCCTCTTATTCTCGGCGCTGTCCTTATCGTCTTATTCCTCTTCTGGGAAGCCTACGGTGCAGAATACCCCATGTTTCCCAAAAAGACTCAAGCAGGATCCTCGTATCTTGGGACTCACTCTCCTCATCACATTCATTTCCGGAGCAAACTTCTTCTCATACCTTATGTTCTGGCCAACACAGGCTTTTAACGTGTATGGCCATGATCCTACCGCTGTGGGCTTGCGCGTCCTACCAGGAGGTATCGCTATCATGGTTGGTGCATGCGTAACTCTCTGGCTGCTTTCCGTTTTCCGCGGCCGGAACAAGGAGCTTATGATCATATCCTGCGTTCTCATGACAGCTGGTATTGTCTCGATTATCCCTTTTCCGTCCCTTTGATACTGATCTTTCCCTTTCAGGAAGTGGCGCTCTGGCCTGCGCGACACCGAACAACATGGACAAATTATGGGGTCTTTTGGTCCTTGGCGGTCTGGGAATTGGCGGCATTGTGGTCCCAGCCTCCATTATCACGACCATCATCTGCCCTGACGATCTCATCGCCACCGTCAGCGCATTGACTCTCGCCATCCGCGTCATCGGCGGCTCGGTTGGCTACTGTGCGTACTACAACGTCTTCCTCGCCAAGTTCAACACCAATGTCGTCACTTACGTCGCAACCGCAATGGACAAAGTCGGCATCACCAACACAACCTACATCGTGCAAGCAATCACGCTGACCGGCGCGAGTCTGATCCTAGACCTGAAGGCAATCCCGGGCCTCGCCAACGAGACGGCGTATCAGATCGTGGTCGCCGCGGGTCAGCTGGCCTACTCGGAGAGCTACAAGTACGTGTACCTGGCTAGCATCGCTGCCGGTGGAGTGAGCATCATTGCGGCCTGCTTCCTGGGTGACATCAACAAGTACATGGACGAGCATGTTGCCGTCGTCATTGAGTAGTGAGTTGAGCTTGTGGAATGAATGGATGAACGGCCAGGAAGAACGAGAGAACGAAAGAACGGGGCAAGGGAGCTCCCCCCCGGGACGGTGAACACGCATATAGACATGGCACATCCTACATCCATCTATTACTTTGTAATATATATGCCTGTACATACACTCTTGCCCTTCCTTGTGCTAAGCATGTTTCGTACTACATGTACTTGTATACACACGTATATGAATATTCAAGGCGCCGGGTTTGCATGTACAACCCGTATTCTTTCGCTGAATGGGATGTACCCCAACCATATGGAGACAGAATGGTCCGAATTTCTGCGTCTTTAGGTCTTTGCGAGCTCCAGCTATGCGAGCTAGATTTGGTCCTAGGGGACATAGAGCGATTGGTTACGTTTCGCGCGAGGCCCCGCGGATCTCATCCTCGCTGCTCTCGCGAGATTTCGAGTAAAACTGGACAAAATGGCATATTTGAGTGTTCGGAGGGATCTATGATCAATTCTGTAAAAGCAGATATTACGGGTCGCCCCTTATGGACGGGCAACAGACATGGTCGCTGGACCGCTTCTAGCAACCGAGAGCGTAAATAGGATGTCATTTCCCCATCCATTTGTGCCAAGCAGTTGGTTCTATACTGACCTATTGAAACTAGCTCTGACCGGGTTCGCTAACGCTGAACTGGTAACTGTCTAGGTAGCAGTGGCCTATGGGTCGAAAAGTATTGCAGGAAGAGGCGGGTTGTAGGTTAGTGAGCAGGCGAGCAGAGGGGGAAGGAGTGCGGGAGGGAAGCCAGGTTAAAAAGCGGCTGAGGGTGGAGGTGCGCTGGTTGTCGATTGACCTTGTAGTTTGGCCGCCACCCATCTTCTTCGCTTCGGTTGACAAATCCAAAGGAAACCAATCAATCAATCACCCTTTACTCGGCTCTCTATGTCAGGACCTTCGCGTAGATTCTCTCGCCCTGGCTCACCCACTCGCGCCACCTGCGCTCCTATTTACGCCACAACGCCAGACTGCCGTAGCGATGCAATCTCCCCGTCCTCCATCTGAAGCAGGTCCCTCAAAACCACGTCGGTGTGTTCGCCCAGCATGGGCGGCGCGGTCCTTACGCCCGCAGCGCTCTCAGAGTACTTGACGGGGTGGCTGACGACCTTTATCGTGCCGCAGGTTGCGTGGTCGAGCTCGGTGACCATGTCGCGGGCGCGGACGTGCTCGTGGTCGAGGGTGTCCTTGACGTCGTTGATAGCGGCATATGGCATGCCGCTACCCTCGAGGATCGCCAGCCACTGCTTCGTGGTCTTGGTCCTTGTGATCTGTTCGATCATGTCCTCAAGCACGTCGCGGTTCTGGACACGAACGTCATTGGTCACGAAGCGTGCGTCGTTCTTCCACTCCGGCCGCTCCAGCTTGTCGCATATGATCCCAAAGAGTCGGTCGTTGCCGCCGCCCAGCATGATGTCGCCGTCCAGCGTCTTGAACCCCTTATAAGGGACGATGCTGGGGTGCGCCGTGCCCCATCGTCCGCCATCCCGTTCTCCGGATATCAGCACCGAGCTGGCGATATTTGCCAGTGTCGCGACCTGGCAGTCCGCCAGCGACACGTCGAGATGCTGTCCCTGGTTCGTCCTCTGTCTAGCCAATAGAGATGCCATAATAGCGTTGCAGGTATAGAGGCCTGTTGTGAGGTCTGTCACGGCAACACCCACTTTCACAGGAGACCCGTTTCGTTCGCCTGTAATGTGCATGAGCCCCATTTCGGCCTCGACCATGACGTCGTAGCCTGCTCGGGGACTGTAGGGGCCATACTGGCCGTAGCCGGTTATGGAGGCATAGATTAGACTGTTGCGTCGAAGACGGGGTCAGTGTATTTGGCGGCCGGACGAAGGGGGAGAGGAGGAGGCAGAGAGATAAGTTGGTGGCCAAAACGGTCAGGAGGGAGACTCACCGAGGGTTAATCTTCCGTACTGATTCGTAGTCTAGTTGGTACTTTTTCAACGCTCCTGCGGCGTCACGCAGGTAATTAGTTAAGACCAGCCACCAGGAAGGGACTTCCATTAATCCATTTGAACATTCATCTCCACGAAGCGCGCAAACATGCAGCATACATACCGGGAATGTAGTTTTCCACCAATACATCCGATACCTTGGCCAACTCATGCAAGATTTTGATTCCCTCGGGGTGCTGGAACGAGAGACCGACTGATTTCTTGTTGCGATTCACCTGGAAAGCAGCGACGCACACCCTCAGCGTCAGCACCGCGCCCGCAAAGAAACACACCGCAGATGCATGTGTAAATGACCCAAGGACTCACGCCGATGAAGTACGCACTTTCCCCAGGCTTGCCGCCTTTCACAACAGCTAAGAATGAGAGGTTGAGTCAGTGGCCGCCTCTCGTGTCGTACTCGGAGTGCTGGGTTGCTTGTGCTGTCTGAGGCTAATTACCATCGCTTTTGTACTTTGCGTACGGCGGGCCCCACGCTCTCGTGTCGTCGCCCCGCGTAGGATGCTCGATTTTGATGATTTCTGCACTGGAGGACATTCAAAAAAAAAGACACTGTCAGTTGATGCGCTGTTTCAACACCATAGCTTCCGGGCAGATCCTTGTCATTCTGGGCAGAAAGCCTGGTGTGGACAGGCTGGGGACATAATGCGCACCCACCCTAAATCGCCCAGAATCTGCGTGCAATAAGGCTACCACATTTCGAGTCCCAGTTAGTCGGTCTTCGATCCCACGCGGACACAGCTTGACTGAACCCAGCGGATATACAACTTCCATTCGCCTTCTCAGGGGGCCGATTACTCCAGCACTGGGAGGAATTAATAGGTACTCACGCCGGCCAATACTCGTGTCATATCCAGCACTCGGACACCTTCTAGCGGCGCTATCTTCCCGCTCTTCGTGTTCGTTGACGAGCTGGTGACAGATGCGAAACATCTACGCGACCTGAACGACGTCTCGGGTTGAGACCGAAGAAGGGACGTGCGACCTTGTTGGCCCAGTAAGGCTCGTCGAAGAGCTCTGCTGGGAGCCATTCGCGGGGTCGGAATATATGGGCTATTAAAATGAGAGATGCGCGCAGAGGGTGGTCAAGAGAAGGGACGCGTAGCAGTTTAGAAATACCGGGGTCCTTTTGGGGGAGTCGAGACTTGACGGCGCCGTCGCCGAAACTTGCCGCCAAGCGCCGAGGCGATTTCTCCCAACAGTCCATCGTCACCGAGGTCGGGATGGGGCCACACGCCGTCTCCAAATTCTTTCAGTCGACAGAAGATGGCACATCTGTCGGAACGAAGTCTTCAAAACCATGGTATATGCGGGTCCAGTGAGAAGTGCATCATCAATGTTTGCCAAAGATTCCTCTCTTGCCCTGACTCTAATCTCTTTATATCATCAGACGGTCGTCATTGACTCCCTTCATTCCTGTCTCATCCCCTTAACGTACAAGCTATAGTTACACAGATTGCGAGACCTGCCCCCAAAACGTTTCGCGACATTTCCCAATCGATAAAGACAGACATTTCAAGTTGCCAGGCGAAAGCCCGCAAGGTATCTTGGACAAAAGACCTCCCAGTATTTTTTTCGTAAAATGATGAAGGATGAAAGTACAAAAAAACAAAGCACAAATAACGAAACCGAAAAGCGTTGCATAGATGGAAAGGTGCAAAGGCAGAAAGAACAAACGCGCCGTCCCAAACAAAGGTCCTCCCAATGATACCCATTGATTCCTTCGCTGTCCAGCACTCTCTAATTGATTCCATGTAATAGGTGTCGCGGCTCGCGCCGCTTTGAAAGCCAGTCTTTTGTTACCGTAAATCCAGATCATGAGTAGGAAAAAAAGCATTTCGCACAGTTTGAGCGAGAAGCCAGCGGCAGTTGATTAGCCTCCGGATGTTGAAACTCTAGACTCGGAGAAAAGTGCTGCAAGTGGTGAGCGAAGTGGTTGCTGAGACTCCGAGGTTGTGTGAAACAGGATATCCCAAAGCCAGCTTAGTTCGTTTGTGGAGTCGGGTTTATGCTTTCTCCGGTGTGGTCTCCGCAAGATCCAGGTCGTCGATGAAAGCCAACCGCTCACTGCGAGGTGAGACGCATTCATCGTTTGCTTCGACCACAGAAGGGTGCAATAACGGTTCACAGGTGCGTTCTTCCCCTTCACTCGAAGGACGATCTAGGCGTCCATCGGGATCTTCCATCCAGTAGCTTTCCAGAGCTCCTGCGGCGCAAACAAGGCCGCCCGCCCACCAAGCCAACCCGCTGCAACCAAGATACAGACCATAGGTGTGCACAAATCCCGTGACAACGGGTCCAAAGGCGCGGGCCAAGCACGCCATCGATGCAGCAAAGCCATTAACTTTCCCTAGCACACTCTTGGAGGGAACGGCGTTGGCAAGAAGAATTGCGTTCGAGGGAAATGATATGGCTTGAAACGTAATTTTGGTCAGAAGAGAGACGTAGATGCCCGTTTTCTGCAGCTGCTCGGGAAGGAGAACCAGATATGGCACTGCAAAGTACAGTAGAGGCCAAATAGTCATCGCCAGTCGAGACGCATAGAGAGGTCCAAGGCGTCTGGCCAGAAAAGGGAAGATGAAGAATTGGGCGAATATCGAATAAGCGCCCTGCACTGCCATCATGAACCCGATAGCTCGAGTGCTGAGGCCGAAACCTCCTGAGAATTTGAAGGGAAGAACAGGCTCTGTCTGCATTCGTTCTTCGCTAAGAAAGGTGGGCATCAGGGCATCGAATGAAACGCTATGGCTAAAAGAAACATGTCAGTCAGAGCCAACGGACTCGAGGTTGGTCAAGAACATTTCACGTACTAGGCGAGGATTGCGTATGCGAAGACGATCAAATTCACCTGCTTATTGAAGGCATTGACCGCGCCGCGCGACTCCTTCTCCCGCAGGATCTCCGAGTCCATCTCTACCGTTGAAGCGGAGCGCAGCAATGGCGAGTTCTCCGTACTTCGGTAACCCGGAGGTGGATCGTGATGGTCAAAAAAGTCCATTTGGT